CCTTGGATTGCTCTCTGGACTTGCCTTTCAGAACTCTGGACTTGTTGGGTGCCTGCTGCAACCAAACAGTGGTACGTTACTTGCAACTGGGTTGTTGTCTTGGAAGAGGCCCCTGTCCTTATCAGCCATATGTTGGCAGCTTTCCCGGACAGATAGTTACTAGGTGACCTTTGGCAAATCACACTCTCTAATCCTTAGAAAAGGGCAATGACAAACCCCCTTTGAACAAACCTTGCCAAGAAAACCCCTTGATAAGCTCATCTTAAATTCACCATAGTTGGGAAATGACTAAGACACACAACAGCAACTGATTGTAACCTTCCCTAATTCTGAATCTTAGCAATTAAGTATCCAATAGGTGAATTATGTGGGTGGTAGGATACAGAACAACAATACTTTATTTAATTCACCTTTCTTATCTTGTTTGGGGATGCCATCATGTAATGCATTTCCAGGTCCATCACTGCACATTATTGGCAGCCCATGGCAAGGGGCAAGGTTACAAAAAAACATTATGGAGTCAGGTCTAGAATTTGACTGATCTGATCATTTGAGGAAATTTCATTAAAAAAAAATCACAACAAACATCCATAACATACATTTTCCATATCATATAAAGACAAACTTTAGTATAATACAACATCAAAAAAGAAAACCACAACATACTACTACTGTTACACGAAAACATACTTTAACTTCCAATTAGTTTCCCAGAATTTCCATTCTAGTAGAGTTCTAGATCATAACATCCATAGGCAAATTGGTTTGAATAGAAAGTTCCACAAAAGAGCACCAGAGCAAATTAAGCCTGTTGCTAATTACCATACATTTCGGTGATAAGTACAGTCATGTGGCATTTTCACACACATGTTGAGTTTGAATAGTCTCTGCATTTGTGTCCTCTTTCAACCATTCTGTATTTTACTGTCATAACCTTATTTACATCTCTGGCCACTGTCCCACTGTAGTAACTAACTTGCTAGGTCTCTAATTGCATAAGACCACTTCTGCTACATTCTGAACATGATAAAACAGCATGTTTATACTTACAGTTGATGTGTACACTACATTGGAGCTACTGTGGTATATTGGCTTGAATGTTTGACTCAGACTTCAGGAGACCAGAATTTGAATTTCAGCTCATCCATGGACATCCACTGGGTGACTTTGGGTTGGTCACACTCTTTCAGCCTTAGATGAAGGCAGTGGCAAATAACCTCTGAATAAATAAAAGTCCTAGAAGTGTTGCCATAAGCCAAAGTTGACTTGAAGACATGTAACAACAATAGCCTACTCCAGTCCAGTCTCAGAGCAGCTTTGCGTATACCCTCAAGACTGCAAATTGCCATGTAAATGCAGCAAAGAGTCATGTACTATAGTGGATGTGGACATGAAAATTCCTGACACAATTGGTACCAAATGTGACTCAGAGCAATACAACTTTGAACATATTTCTTTTTGTAAAAGTTGACCATTTTTCTCTGTCACTTAAGGTACATTTGAATGGGATGATTAAATTGTATGTATTATGAAGATTATTATGATTTCTTTTTTTAAGACCAAAGATTGTGAATCTTAATGGAATTCAATTGGAATTTAATAAGCAATTTATTCTGGAATGAAATAGGATATAAGCATCTGTTACTCTTTCTGTATCTTCAATTTTGGGGGGCAGGGTAGTATAGATGGAGTACTCAACCACTTAATCAGGATTGTAGCTAGAATAAAAGAAAACGTGTAATGAAGCACAGACAAAGGAAACAATTTCAGCCAAGTGTTTGTATAAAGATGCATTTTTAGTTACTACTTGGTTTAGCTCATGAACCCTGGGCATATGTGATTATCTTTAACTTGTATAATTTACTCATGAATGCCATTGTGTTAAAAATATGAAAACCTAAGTGCCTTTATAAAAGGAGATAGCAGCTGATTCTTAGGAATTAGGCTGCACTATACCACATTTCTTAAGAGACAGTTTGAATTGACATTTATTTTGAAATCATTCAGGGAGTAATGAATGCCTGGTTTCCTTTGTTTCGTTTTTGGAGTATATCATGAACAGTGCTTCTTATGCCTTAATAGTATATTTCTAGCATATTCATTCATTAATGTGTCAATAAGAGTCAGATTGTTGGCCCTGTGTAAGTCCTTTTTACAGAAAGCAAGTAAAGCTGTTTATTAATTTTAAAGGTGTTGCATGGTGATATAGATCTAGCTTTCAGACTGAAGAAATTTTTGAAAAGTACATAGTTGTCTTGAACACAGTAGGATTTCTGGAGAGCAGGAGAGATTAGAGTTCCTGAGCACCAAACTTTTTTTTTTAAGAAAAACTTTTTAAATAAATAAATAAATAAATGCATTTTTGGCTTAATGAGCACTTCACACCCTCCCCAAGGTCTTTATAGTCCTTCAATATTCTTTGAGATTTTTAAAAATAAAACTGATCAATATAGATCTCTGTTCCACAGTGAACAGCTTTTTACATATATCAAGTTTTGCTAGAAGGAAAGTGCTAATCTGTTGTTCAGTTTTGCTCCCTTTTCTTCTACTAATTTAGCCTTAGCTAGCAAGGCCAGTGTACTTACATGTGATGATAGCCATCATCACATCAACGTTAGTTCTTCTTCTGCTTTAAAAGCAGTTCTGGTTTTTGCTCTTCAGGTTTGTTTTGCTAAATAAATTCTTGTGAACTGATTTCCCTACCACCACCACTTTAAATATTTCCTTGGGGAGCCATTTGCACTTTTTGTAGGATAGTTACATTCTCTTTTTACAAGGAAAAGGGTTGTCATGTTGTCTGTCCAGGAGCATGTTTAAAAGCTGACTACTGTGTCAAGGTCACATTAGTATTACCTATGCCTCCCAACAGGATTATAACACATGTGAACTACTGTGACCTTTACATGTCAGAAGATTCATTAAACTGGGATGGGGGGGATTTAGGCTACTGTGGCAGGACTGTTCAAATGCCAATTATTTTTAAAGTGCATATCAATTTATTTCATCCTTTAATATAATAGTCCTGTAATTTTAGGATTATTCAGCTTTTGCTAAGAAACTTATGGTAAGACTGGCTTTTTTGGCTAGAGAAACACTTTTAACGAAAGCTTTGTCTTACAACACACAATGAAAGATATCTGAGAGGCTTTGTGCTGGTTTTGCAAGACATACAAGTCCAGGAACTCTCACTTTGCATTTAGTTGAAAACCTCATTCTACTAGAAGCTATTCAGAAAGTTGATACAAAATGCAGCCCGCTCCCGTGTTGGGAACTGTTTGCCGGTTTTCACATGGCATTGTTAAGTGGCTGTCTAGACTTTGAGTGTTTTGGGTCTTGAGATAAACTGATGCAGTAGGCTGGGTTTAGTTTCTTCTTAACCTGTTTCTCTTTCAGTATCTTTAAGAAGGGCTTTGCTGAATATGCTGACTTGACAAATTCTGTTTTTGCCTTTTCATGCAGCCTCTGAATTCATTATAATCAAATACCATCTTGCATTTTTAGTTTTTCTCATAAAACTTTATGAAATGAAGGATGTCCAAGAATAAGAAACTGGCTACATATACACAGAGGATATGTTTAGAAACCTTGCAATTCAAAGAATGCTCTGAGTTTTACTACTGGAATTTGTTAATCTTTAAGTATTTTCCCATTATCTCTGTGCTTGTTTTAAATATGTGCTGTGAGAGGGGGGAAACAATGCAGGAATTAATGGCTTATAACCAAAATGCTGTACATCTGCTGTGCTGAAAGTAGCAGGGTATGCTTATCCAAAATGCTGAGCACTTGACTCATCCATCTATGAATAAATTAAATTAAATTAAATTTCTTTATTACGACCATTCGGCCAGCACAAAATTACAATAATTACTATGAATAATTTTATTGGTGCTGCGACTTGCAAAGCATACTGAAACATGTGACCCTACACCTGTGTATGCATGTGTAGGCACATGATCATCTACAGTTGATGCTCTTATCCTAAGAATTGTTTTACATAAATTACAGCATCTTTATTTCAGTTCTATAAAATCGACTTATGGTTTGCTTGGGTTTACTGTCACTTGTAATATTCCAGTGAGGTTCTATGGGATTGAAAGGGAGTTCTGCAATGGTAGCACTTTCAGAAGCTTACTGAATAAACAACAACAATTGTGGCTCATACAATTGTGGTTGCAAGCAAACCCAGTAACAGTTGTACAAAGTTCAAGTTTGTAGTAGCAGCAGCTGTGCTACTTAGAAATAGGACCTGATGCAACTAAAACCTTAGTGCTTAGGAGGCTGTACAAAGAGTGATCAGCTGCAACATTTTACCATGTGCATACATGCTAGTTTCCCCACTTTGCACGGGAAAGTGCAAGGGCCTTTAGGAAGGCTTAAGGTCATATGGATTTAAAATTAAGTTATTTATATCTTTATATGTTATAAATGTTTATGCATAAGTAAGAAAACTACTGTGGAGAGCCAATGTGGTGTAACATTGGACTATGATTCTGGAGAATTCAATTCAGCATTCAATTCTTCACTTGGCTATGGAATTCCATTGAGTGACCTAGGGTGAGTCACATACTCTCATCCCCAGAAAACCCCATGATAGGTTCGATTAAGGGTCACCATAAGTAGGAAACGACTAGAAGACACACAACAACAACAAGAAAACTAGAGTACCGTATATACTCAACTATATATCAACTTAATGTATAAGTTGAGGACAGGTTTTGGGGCCAGAATTATGGATTTTGATATGATCCATGGATATGTTGAGGGTAAAAATTTAAGGGCATGTAACAAAGGATCTAAAGCAAAGGAAAACAATGCCAAAGAATTTGCAAAATTCCAGCAGGCATAACTGTGCCACCCTAAAG